GCCTGGTGTTTCCCACGGGAAAATACAAAAATCCCAGAACCACACCAGCACCGAGTATCATGTTCACAGGATGAAAGGCTAGGGGAAGACTCATGGGCCAGTCTGTGCCTGAGCCCCCACGACAGCCCCATCAGGGGTTTTTCGTGCTTGTACATCTCCAGGTGCAAGCAGAGCTGGAAGGAAGAAGTTTGTACAAGTCTACAAGTGCTACAAGTCTCTTGCTAGAAGAAGCTTGTACAGGTGGAATTGAGTCCTGCCTTGCTATTTTGCCAAGGAAGCCTTCAGGCTGAGTGGTTTGCCTGCGGTCACCTGGAACATCACTGGAAAAGCCTGGGTCAGGGGCCTGGCACTTGGAAACCTGCTTTTGTCCTTGACCTCAGAGTGGACTGGAAACAATCCTAAAGAAGAATTCAGAGTAGGTTCTTGGCTTCAATTTGGCCGCTTAAATTAAATGAAATTTAATTCAATTTCATAAATATTAGCCAAAGGACTACTATGTGCTAGACATTGTGCTTACATATAGTGTGGTGCGGGAAAATAATCTATCACCTCTGAACCTGTGTCCTCATCTATTAAAAAAAAGAACCCCTATGTACTGCTTGTTGTGTGGATTAAATGAGGAAGAAGGAAGCACAGTGCTTTGTAAACTAAAGTGGTATGTATGTCAAGAAGTCACTGCCAAAGCCAGTTATCCCGTCTGTGCAGTCCGCTCCACCTGGAGCAGATGTCCACCTTAGCACTGCCCACCATTTGGAATTTGTTTACCTGTCTCTCTCTCACCACTCTCTCCAAAGGAGGAATGTATAAGGTTCACCGTTGATTACCCAGAGCCCCACCCTGGGGTTGGCATATAGTAGGTGCTTAACAGAGTATATGGGTAAACAGAACATGTGAGGAAATCTGATTCTGAGACCATGGAGACGCCAACCAGGTGGGCACCGGAGGACCAAAGGGGGGAAGGTCTTAGTGAGAGATAGTGGAGGGTGAGAAGGGTGTCCCATGTGGGTGGACAGGGTTTGGGTCACTGGAAAGGAGAGGATGGGACACTCCACACAGTGTGCATAGCTTGGGCAAAGGTCAGGAGATGAAAATCCATATATATATATATAGATACATAATCTATATATATATATAGATATATATTATATATCTATATATATATAATCTATATATATAATAAATAGATTATATATATATCTATATATATAGATTATGTAGTGGGCGCTGAGGGAGTGAACAGGTAAGACAGCGATGAGAGATAACTGAAAATATTAAGTGTAGCACTTATATAGGCACTGTTCAAAAAGCTATGTATGTAGTAGCTCATCAAACCCTTGCAACAACCATACAGGTTTGGTACTGTTATCTCTACTTTCAAATTCAAGACAAGGGAACAGATGAAATAACTTGCCCAAGGTCACATAGCCGTGAAGTGACAAGTCTGGGATTTGATTCCAGGCACAGATTCTCTGACTCCAGCATCTGTGCTCTTAAAGTAGGTTGAGGCCTGTCTTTAAAGAGCTAAGAACTTTGGACTTTTTCTTGTACTGTAGGAAAAATTTTGAGCAACACTTTTGAGTGGGAATTAGTTTGAGAAGACATCATGCAGGGGGGTAAAAATGTCTTCACAGGCGGCAGAGTTCCCTCAGACGTAATGAGCACATTCGGTGTGGCAGGCACTGGCAATACAAAGAGCAACACGCCCGTGCCCTTGCAAGCACGCCGCCCGGGGGATGCGTGGCGGTGGCTGCGGGTGGTCCACTCTGGCTCCCTGAAGCCCACTGTGTGCCTCTCCTCCCAGATGAACAGTCACATCACATTGGTAGCTCGGAATCGACCACGAGAGTATTTATACCATGGAGATTGGCCAATGCTACAAATTGGGGCTATCCCCCCCAGAGAGCTGGTTAAATAAATATTGGGTTGGCCAAAAAAATTCATTTGGTTTTTCCATAAGATGGGTCTCGTACTGCTTAGTTGTCTTTAGCTTTATTCTAAATCATTTCATTATATTGTATTGTGACAGCTGTCATATCAGTGTACATTTTTTTAAAACATCAAAATTGGTGAATTTTTGTGTAGTCATTTTAATATTAAAGTAGGAAGAAAATAAGCAACATTTTCAGCATATTATGCTTTATTATTTCAAGAAAGGTAAAAATGCAACTGAAATGCAAAAAAAGATTTGTGCAGTGTGTGCAGAAGGTGCTGTGACTGATCAAATGTGTCAAAAGTGGTTTAATGCTAGAGATTTCTCACTGCACGATGTTCCACAGTTGGGTGGATCAGTTGAAGTTGACAGTGATCACAGCAACACATTGAGAACAACCAATGTTATACCATATGGGAGATAGTGGGCATATTCAAAATATCCAAATCAAGAAAGTTATTGGTGAAAATGAAAAATCTGTCTTCTATCTTATGGAAAAAACCATACGGACTTTTTGGCCAACCCAATATTTACCAGCACCACACTGCTTATAAAGAACCGCATTGTGATAAATGATCTCGCCAGGGACCTGGTGGCACAAAGGGGCTTGGGACTAACCATGTGGAGAGCCAGGGAGGCGAGGTGCAGGCACTGTGGGAGGAGGGGCAGGTGTTTGCTGTGAAGACAGAGCAGTGAAGGGCGGCTCGCCAGAGGTGTGGGGTGACATGGCATGTTCTACGGTTTGGCAAAAGGAAACTGGACATGAAGGAGCTGTGATGTGAAGGAGCTGATGTGCCAGATAAAAGGGTGTTTATTTAGCAAATCCAGTACTGGGTTTGTAAAGTGAACTAACTGGGGTTGGGAGGAAGTACCCATGTCACAACACTTTAACCTTTGTCTTTGGCTGGCAGGGTCCTTAGAGGATTTCAGATGTGTCTCAACTAGGCCTTTACCCAACCACTCAGTAAAAGGGGACAGACCTGGCATGAGAACAGTTTAGAACACTCGAGGGCTGCCAGCTACCTGGGGAATGTTGACAAAGGCTTTGCAGTGCCCTGTACTTTGGGGCAGGAGGGCCAGGGAAGTTGGCAGGCACTAGGACCAGGAGGCCGGGCAGCGAGGGTCAGGCATGCACTTCATGCACAGAAGTCAGAGCCAGAGAGCAGGGTTCAGAGCTCCTTTTGTTGTCCTTTGTGTCTTGTGGGGTCCTGGTTGCTATGAGTTGCTCAGCGATCCTCTGGCTTCCACAGACCCACTTTACTCCTCAGGGCCTCCTTGGTCCTTGTGCCCCAGCCTGGGGGGAGCCTGTCGTTAGACTGTCTCCACAGTTCTGCTTGGTGCCATGCTGTCCTGAAGGTTCTGAAGGAGGCTGGGGTCACGGGGCTGTCTGGGCAGACAGTGCTGCTAGACCTAGGGCCCTATGGGCCTGGAAACAAGCCTGGCCCCTTCCCTGGGGTGGGCCTATTGTCAAGGTTGCTCTGCTCTACAGACGGCCATAGGGTGTTTCCATGCTAGCTGCCCTCATCAGCCCTGAGCCCTCTGGGACACAGGCAGACACAGGTGGTCAGTGTGAAGAGACCGCAGTGCAGAGAAGAGATGGGCTGGCATGCTGGTCATGTGAGCAAAGAAATTGGTCTAAGGCAGACCTTGGCCATTCTCTCACTCACAGTAGCCTGTTTTAGGAGTAATTTGTAAGAGAGCTTAAAGTTTGGAATGAACAAAGGGACAGTTACACAAGTGCTACGTTTGAGGCCACTTGGCCACTTATAAATCACAGTGACCACATCTTGGCCTCCAGGGCTAGGTTGGGCATTGAGGTGTGGACAAGGGTGGGTACTCTGCCACCTCGGCATAGGGAGCTCTGGTTCAAAGGCAGAACAGAGGGTCACAGAGCTTGCGCTTCATAAAAAGGCAAAGGGCTTCAGGTGGTCCTGAGGGTATGAGGTTACAGGGAGCAGTCAGCGGTAGCCACTGTTGGCCTCTGGTGGCAGCCTTCACAATGGGGTCACATCAAGGTGTCTCAGGTCCCCTTGACCACTGTCTCTTTAGAAGCCTGGGACCATGCCTAGGGTAGGAACAGAGTTCACAAACTCACGTGTGCCTGGAATTGGCCTTCCCTTGGAACACAGCTCTCGGCTGTGCACAAGGCTAAGTGAACTGAGTCTGGTTGAGGTCACTGATCAGCACCGGCCTCCCTCAGGGCAGCGAGAGGCTGACAAGCAACAGCACATCCCTGCCTGCCAGCCTACACTCACTCCAACTCACCGGTCCTCTGGGATGGTGCTGCCCGCACTGCTCAGTGTTCTCTGTTTCGCTAAGCAGATGGCTGCACTCACCTGAGACACGTGCATAGTGACTGTGCTGTGTCTCTGCATGAAGGCTCACCTTTCCTCCATTACCTGCTCTGCCTGCTCCTGGGCCTGTCCAGCCTACCCTCAAAGGCCCAGCTGCACCATCCATTCATCCCTCAGAGAATTAACCTTTCCCCAAGTTCCCACAGCACACTGTGTAAACCTCTAGGTTTTTTATCTGTGGCTGTTTCCATCCTCAGGGCTCACACATCGCATACTCCAGAAGGGCTTGTTAAAGTGGTAACCCCTGCCCAAAAGTCCATTGTTACTACCTCCTGAAAGAGCAAGCATATACAGAGCTCCTGTGTGCCAGCCTAGTTAAGAATTTTCACATGCAGCCCTGGTTGGTGTGGCTCAGTGGATTGAGCGCCGACCTGTGAACCAAAGGAAACCCAGTCAGGGCACATGCCTGGGTTTCCAGCCAGGTCCCAAGTAGGGAGTGTGCGAGAGGCAACCATACATTGATGTTTCTCTTCCTCTTTCTCCCTCCCTTCCACTCTAAAAATTAATAAATAAATCTTAAAAAATTTTTTTCTTCACATGCATTTCATTTAAGTTGTGTAAACCTGGGAGGTGTGGTCGTTATCTGATGAGGAAACAAATCAGAAAGGACCAGTGACTTGTCAAGGTTACATAGCAGTGATGAAGCCAGAATTCAAACCCAGGTGTCCAAGGCCAGGGTTTTTTGTCTTATAAGCAGACACAAAATAGTAACAACTATTCATCATTTATATGGTATTGTCACATACATTATTTCATTTGATCCTCACAACAGCCCTGTGAGGTAGGTAGGGTTATGTATTACTGTTATGCACGTTTCACAGATGAAGAAACAGAAGTGGCTCAGTGAAATGAGTGACTTGCATAAAGTCACACAACACATTAGTAGCTTCACAGGTTCTGTACTTTCTCTAAAGTCAAGCTGCTTGAATTAAGAAGCACCAAAAGGATGGGAGAAAAAGAATTTTTGAGGAGAGGAGAAAAGGGCAGTGGTAATTTATGAGATTCTTCCTTAAGCTGTTTTGTTGTGGTCATAGCTTCTATTTGAGTACCACTGGCCTGGTGGCCTGGGGCAGCTGTCACTCTTGGGTCCCACTGTAGGAGGAAAAGGCCTGTATTCCCTAAGGGATGCGGCCTTGCCCACAGCCCAGTGTATAAGCTCCCTGCTCACAGAGCAGAGCTCTGGGAAGACCCTTCCTCAGCCTGTCTCTCTTGGGCACCTGTGCTGGCAGGCTTTCCTGCCTTTGTCTGAGGGCTCCTACCCGGTGGGAAGGACTATGGGACTCCCAAGGCCATACTCACTCTGGGGATGAATCATAATGTGCAGTTTGGAAGCCTGAACTGCTCATCACCCCCTGGGGAGTAGTGGCTTGGGGTGTCTTGCCCTAGATCTCATGCCAAGGAGGTCCATGATTTGGTTATGACCAGGAACAGTACTACGGGGGAAGGCCACTGCCTTCAGAACGGTGTCTCAGGGGCTGGACACTCAGTCAGTCCAAGGGCAGCGTTATGGCTCAGACCACGCAGGCTCCTAGCTGCACACTGCTTCCCGAGGCCCTGGGCTGGCGGCACTTCCTCGGGGGCAGCACATCTCCATCCTCCAACAGAAGATGGGCTCAGGGTATCTGGAGTTGTGGCTGGTGAGAAAGGTGGGTAGGTGGGGGTCACAGGGGAAGCAAAGTCCTTACAGAATAGAGCTGACTTACAGGGGATAGAAGAGGGCCCACCTTGGTTCTGAAGACAGAGCCCTAAGGGGAATCCTAGTAATATTTTCAGAACGAGTGTCTCTCAAGGTGACTATTTTGAAAGAGAAATACATGTTTGGGTGAGAATTAGACCAGAAAATGGGAGTGGAAGGACAGAGTTTGGCTTGCTATAAGAACTTTCTAACAGCCAGTACCAGCCAACCATGGCAAGGGCTGCTTCAGGGCTGATACCCTTCCCATCACCGGAGGTGTGCCAAGCAGAGAGAGGTGACAGCCTGGAGGTGCTGGGGAGAGAAACTCATCCCCAAATGTGCTGGGGTGTGCTGGGATGAGGGAGGACTACGCAACTGTTGAATTACTTTTCAACCTGGAGAGTCCATAATATATTTGTTTAAAATGACTTGTTTCAATGGTACCTTAATTCTTGGGGAAAGGATTATAAAAGTCAGGCCCAGTATGAGGTGCCTTTCATTGCACTGACTCTAGATTTTCAAGCTTTCACAGGGACAGCAGCCCATTTCTGAAGCCAGAAATCCCCAAATGCTTAGAGTTGACCCAGTCAAAAGGGACATCCCCATCTTCTGACCCCTGCTTGGACACTTACTCCTGTAGACCATGCCACAGCTTGGCTCCCCCAGCAGGGGCCGAGACAGCTTTGAGAACATAATGTTTCTCCAATCCAGTCAAACACGGTTGCCCTTGGGCAAACAAGTCCAAGGTCCTGGCTGCATCCTCCGGACAGAGGAGCAGGGGTGATGAGGGCCATGGGTACTTTCCATCCTGGGAAACTGGAGGGAGCATCTTGTTCTCACCTCATCCCCTCCATCAGGGGCTCTCATTCAGATGGGTAGGTGAGGCGCTGCCCAGTGGTAGAGAGAGAGCTGGAGTCTGTGACAGAAGTGCTGCTCCTCTGTCTAGCTAGAAAGCCCCCTGGTGGCCTCCTTTAGGACACATGGGCAGACTCTCCACCTCTTGTAACAGACTGCCCATCTCCAGCTCAAAATGGCAAGAAAAAAGGAGGATCTGTTGAGGACACATGGATTCCTACAGGTGGACTGCATCATGGGGGGAATCAAGTCCTGCTATGCGATTAACAGATTAGTAGAGTGCCCTGCCTCACACCGCTGCTGAGACGCTCTCTAAGATCTTGGCTGGTATGAAGCTTCTTGGGAGCCTCCCTCCAATGTGGCTTGAGGTCCTTTTACCTGTATCGTATTAATCGAATAATTTTATTGTTCATAAAATCCAGAGCATGTGGGTGAGAAGAATCGATGCAGAAGCCGTCACTTAGAGCAATTTTCAGCACCTCCTCCACAAAGACCTGGAAGCTGTTGATCTGCTTGTTGGCTGGTACCACCCAGAGTCTCTTGAGGTTCTGCTTGGTGTACTCCTCCTCTGGGAGGCCCTCCACATTGGCCACCCAGTCCAGAGTCAGGTGGTTGGGGTCCTGCAAGTGGCTGGTGATGGAGGAGAGGTTGCCATTGGAGCAGTAGAAGAGCTTGGAGCCAAGGAGCTTGAGGAAGAGGCAGGAGGTGCTGAAGATGTTGGCATTGAAGACCTCCATGCTGGAGGAGGAGAGGCTGTAGATCTGGGGTGCCTCGCGCACGGTGAAGTGGACCGTCTGCACACGCTGGTTCAGCGTGATGTTGAGCATGGCATTCTTCTCTGCCTTAGAGAGCTCCACCTCCTTCTCCTGCAGTGCCTCGATCAGGGGCTGCACCTGGTAGAAGTCAGCCTCCCTGCGGAGCAAGCCCATCTCCTGGAAGTCCTCAGGTAAGTCCAGGTGAGAGGTCCGTAGAAAATTGAGGATGTAGCGGAACACTTTGCCATCCCGGTCAATGAAGCAGTTGCCCTGGCTGTCCCTCTTGGTGGGCATCTTCCCACTGAACATGGCACCTAGCATGGAGTCGGGGAAGCTGGTCAAAGTTGCTAATGAGGTTGTGTAGAGCTTCCCCCCAACATTGAGTGTGATGGGGTCGGACATGGCAGGAGGCTGGGGTGCTGGGAAGTAGTCCTAGAGAAGGAGAAAGTTAGAAATGACCATTACTCAACCATAGCTGGTGTCTTAGTCTGTTGGAGCTGCTATATCACAGACTGGGTGTCTTAATAACACTTGCTTCTCACAGTTCTGGAGATTGGATGTCAAAGATCAAGTTGTGGGCATGACAGAATCTGTCTTCTGCGTCCTCATGTGGTAGAAGGGGCAGGAGAGCTCTCAGGGGTCTCTCTTATAAGGGCACTAATCCTGTTCTCTACTCTCAGGACCTACTCACCTTCCAAAGGTCCTATTTCTTTATACTATCACATTGGAGATTAGGATTTCAATATGACTTTTTTGGGACATAGACATTCAGTCCATAACATCTGGGTAGGCACAGTTCTCAACTCCTTATTGTAGATCAAGCTTATAGTCTTTGAGGTTAAATGAATTAATACTTAATGAACAAATGGATGGGTTATAACTGCCACTGTTGAAAGCATATTATGTTCCCTGAGGAGTTAAAAAAAAAGGCACATAATTGGCCAAAAAGGCACAATTACAACTAAACTACAGAACCACCACCATTCAGAACCACAGGAAATCTGGCTGAATGGAAGTCCTACAACTAGGGAATTAAAGAAGCAGCCACATCAAGACTAGTAGAAGGGGCAGAGGTGTGGAATGGGTTAGTTCCACACCCAGGTATGGCAGATAAAAATTGGGGGGGGGATATCTTGGCTACAGAGGTCACCCCTGAGGAGCCAGGGGTGCCACCCCACACCAGGCCCCCCAGCACAGGGTTCCAGTGCCAGACAGAGAAGTCCCAGTAACTTCTGGCTCTAAACCCAGCAAGGATTGAGGCTGAGGGAGATGGAGGGATTCTGGAGCCCCTGGAAGTTCCTTTTAAAGGGCCTGTACACAAACTTACTCAGATTCACTCCCTCTGAGCTCCAGCACTGGTGCAGCAGCTTGAAAAGCACCAGAAACATAAGGGGAAAAACTCTATTGTCCTGTATCAGGGTGAGAGCTGGGCGTTGGGAGGAAGATTTCTCCCAGACAGATGTGCTGGCAGAGGCCACTGTTCTTTTGATGAGCCCTCCACCTACAGAGCCCGCATATAGGTGCCATATATGAGTCTCCCTCAATCGGCTCACACCATTTGCCCTGCCCTGGTGATTCTCTGAGGCCCTGCCCCATGCAACCTTTGGGCCCACCCAAGCTATTTCCAGTGGCTTTTCCATACCATATCCCATCTTTTCATCCTTCAGATTTTCCTAACATCTCTCAAACAAGCAGTTTCTGTTCTCAGCAAGACACATACCTCTTGCTAAGTGGCCCCAAGCCTGCACTAGCAGCAACTAGCCTTCGTTTGCACCTTGGCCTTGCCTGGGCACCTGCAAGCCCAGCACAGGTAGCAGCCATCTGCAGATCACTTTGTAGCTCATGGTGGGTGGCAGCAAACAGGACACAGGCAGTGGCTGACTTTGGCCTGCGCCTCCCAGGAGGCCCCAGAGCCAGCACACCCAGTGGACAGTGTCAGATCCTGGTGAAGCACTACCACCCAACCACCTCCACAAGCGACACTCTCGAGGAGTGGATTCAGTGGGCACCAGAGTGCCGCTGAAGTAAGTCCTGCTCTGTGGGGTGGGCCTAAGCACAGCTGATCCTCCACAGTGGTTGGAGGTCGGTGTTTGCAGCCAGTTCTTGCAGCTGATCAGCCTGCGGGTAAATCCCTCCCACTGAAGTGCCAACAGCAATCCAGGCTCCACAAGAGGAGGCTACACAAAGCCCACATGGGGACTCACCTTGAGCGTCCGGCTTGCGTGACTGGGGAGGCTGTGCCTCCAGACCCTACAAAACACCTACTACATTAGATCACTCTCCCAAGCCTGGGGGACGTAGCAGCTCTACCTAATACACAGAAAAAACACAAGGAGCCTGCCAAAGTGAGGAGACAAAGATACATGTCTCAAATAAAAAAAGAACAAAACTCCAGAAAAAGAACTAGACAAAATGAAGACACGCAATCTATTAGATGCAGAGTTGAAAACACTGGTTATAAGGATGCTCAATGAACTTGGGGGAAGAGGAGATGAACTTAGTGAGAACTTCAACAAAGAGGAAACATAAAAGCAGAGATAGAAAACATTAGAAAAAGCCAGTCAGAAACAAGTACATTAACTGAAATGAAGAATACACTATAGGGAATTAACAGTGGAGCAGATGAAGCTGATGATCAAATCAGAGGTTTGGAAGATAAGGAAGCAAAAAACACCCAATTAGAACAGCAAATAGAGAAAAGATTGAGAAAAAATGAGGACAGTGTAAAGAGCCTCTGGGACAACTTAAAGCATACCGACATTCACATGATGGGGCGCTGGAAGGAGAAGAGAGAACAAGAAATCGAAAACCTATTTGAAACAATAATGGGAGAAAACTTCCCTAACTTGGTGAAGGAAATAGACATACAAGTCCAGGAAGTGCAGGGAGTACCAAACAAGTGAATCCAAAGAGGCCCACACCAAGACACATCATAATTCCAATGCAAAAACTTAAAGACAGAGAGAATCTTAAGAGTAGCAAGAGAAAAGCAGTTACCTACAAAGGAGCTCCCGTAAGACTGTCAGCTAATTTCTCAACAGAAACTTTGCAGGTCAGAAGGGATTTGAAGAAATATTCAAAATGATGAAAAGCGAGGACCTACAACCTACATTACTCACCCAGAAAAGCTATCATTTAGAATCGAAGGACAGATAAAGAGCTTTCCAAACAAGAAAAAGCGAAAGGAGTTCATCACCACAAAACCAGTATTATGTGAAATGTTAAAGGCTCTTCTAGAAGAGGAGGAAGAGGAAGATGAAAACTTGTATAAACAATAAAATATCAATAAATACATGTCTATCAACAATTGAAGAATCTAAAAACCAAAATAAATCAACAAGCAGAACAGAAGCAGACTCATAAACCCAGAGAACATTTTAATGGTTGCCAGATGGGAGGGGGGTTGGAGTCATGGGTGAAAAGGGTGAGGGGATGAAGAAGTACAAACTGGTAGTTACAGAATAGTCATGGGGATGCAAAGTAATATTCGAATAACTATGTATGTTGTCAGATGGGTGTGAGATTTATCAGTATGATCACTTAGTAAACTATGTAATGTTTAATCCCTGGGGTATACACTTGAAACTAACATAACAATGCATATAAACTATAATTGAAAAATTAAAAAATGGTTTAAATACAGAAAAAAATGAAGCCTGTGTCCCACCTTCCAGCAGTTGTTTTAATTGGTCAGGAATGTTACCCAGCATTAAAAAGTGCCCTCAGTAATTCTAAATGTTAAGACAGAGAACCACTGGTCTAAGGAAAGAGCGAAACCATGCCTGGACTGAACGCTATGCACCCTCTCTTACATTTGCACACACAATACTCACATATCTTTTGTCACAGACAATACCCCCATCCATCTTCTGAAGATGAGAAAAACTGTGCCTGGATTTATTCCCCACACTCAGTGAGGTGAAGGGGCATACCAGGATTTAAAACCAGGTCCCTTTATATGAGACAGAAAACTGTGTAAATGCTTACTAGCCAAAGACTGGTACACTCTTAAGTACCTAACAGATGCTATGAGATTTGTACTCCAGGCCTAGTGCTTCTTTGCTGTAGCAATGTTGCCTCCTTGCTTAATTCTTTTTGTATCTCAAAAAAATTGACAACAAATGGCTGTGACTAGTGCCATTTCCATCTATCTACCAGGCCCACAATGGTTAGCCCTTTGGACTCTATATGACACCGTTTTCTGGACTCTCATCTTCCTGTAACAGCCTGCCTTCCTGTAACAGCCAAGAAGATGCTCTTGGCTCCTGGTCGCCTGTCCTTTCCTGTCACAGTGGCACCCCAGCGTCCTCTGAAGCTTTCTTGGAGGTCAGTGCAAATGTGCAGTCTGCCACTGAGCACCCTTCCTGAGGGCTCTCACAGAGCCTCCCTAGCCCACTAATCTCACAGCTTTTAGCATCTCCTTCAACTTGAACTCTTGCATTCTATACCTTCTCTTTAAGATTTTAGAAAGCAGGGGATGCACCATCTCTGCTTCCAACATGATACTTTCCCAAGAGCCAATCTATGGGACAGATTCAGCAGTCTTTTCCAGATGCTGGGTGCGGGTGGCACAGAGAGGAATTGACCCCAGTGCTGACCTTGAGAAGAGCCCAGGCTGGTGGGACAGGCTGAGGTAAGAGGCAGTGAGGGTGCAGTGACAGGGGAGGTGCACCAGGCACTGTGGGAGTAGGTCAGGAATGAATCCTTGGCATGCTCACTATCCAGAGAGGAAAACAGAGGTTGGGGGTGTGGGGCTTCTGCAAGGGTGGCAAGTATGCACGAGTACTTCTGACCACAAGTCTGCCTTCTGAGTAGGCTGCACTGAAACCTCGTTATTCCAGGGGATAGAGACCCACCACCGCAAGTACTGAGGTGATGCTTGGCTGCCTTACCCAGCCGTCTGGGGAGGGGGTCGGGTCCCCTCATGATTGCATCCCTGTCTAATGGGGCATTTTGATACAGCAGAAAGGACTTAACCATCTGGAGTGTCTGCAGAGAAACAAGCTGATGATGCAGTTGTAAAATCAGCAGCGGCCTGAAGCAGATGGGCTGCGAGACAGTGGGGAGAGCTAACAGAGAGGTGGGGTGAGGAAGGGACAGCTGCTGTGTGCAGACCTGCAGCTGGGGAAAATGCTTCATCTTGGGCCAGAGTCTGGCCAATTCTTTCCAGAGGGCCCAGGCAGAGTCCTGGAATAGGCCATCCCCTTCCTCATTCCAGAACCTCCTTTTCTTTCCAGATAGTAATTTGCATATTCTAGTTTTCACTCTCTCTCCTTGACTTAAGGCCCAGGTTCTATGCAGTGGCTCAGCTCCATGGAAAGAACAGGCTCAGGCGTCAGAGGCTGGGTTGCTTTTCCTGACAGTTCTGTGGCCCACACCCCCCCCCCCATCTCTGTGCATTAGTGTGAAAGAGCCCAGAGCACTGGGGGTGG